TTGGCACGACATCGCGTGTCCGCGACGACACCTCCTCTTCTACTGTTACGCTTTCTGGAAACGGTGCTGTAGTCTCGGGTAGCCACAGAGCTTCGCGAGCAGATGATTTGTCGGAAAAGCATGCCCCTATCGATGACGAATCGACGCCGTCCTCTCCCTCCGCAAATGCTCTATCGCCGACGGATAGCACTCACTTTGCGCCCCTCAAGACCCATGCCAGCAATACCAAACGACCAGAGGCGCGCAGACAAGGAAGCAATTTGACCGAAGATGACCTTTTCCGAGTATTGTCTCGCCGCCGTACCAATGCCACGCACCAATCAGATGCTGAGCAGGAAGAGGAACAGCAAGAGGTTGAACGTCTCATGTCTAGGATATTTGGTCGAGCTCGGCAAGAACAGAGCGAGGAGGAGAAAACGCGGCATAGTGGAGTCGTTTTCCGCGATCTCACGGTCAAAGGCGTTGGCCTCGGGGCCAGTTTACAGCCCACGATTGGAGACATCTTTCTCGGATTTCCCCGCAAGATCAAAATGCTTTTCACTCGAGGGCCCAAGGCTGCATTCGCAAAGCCCCCGGTTCGGGAGCTAATCAGTCATTTTGACGGTTGCGTACGCCCTGGAGAGCTTCTTCTTGTTCTTGGTCGTCCAGGCTCAGGATGTAGTACTTTTCTCAAGGCCTTCTGCAATCAAAGGGCAGGGTTCCAGGCCGTTGAAGGAGAGGTCACTTATGGAGGCGCCCCCGCTGAGGAGATGAGCAAGAGGTTTCGCGGAGAAATCATCTACAACCCAGAAGACGATCTCCACTATCCAACCCTGACTGTCAAGAGAACCCTCAACTTTGCACTGGAGACGAGAACCCCTGGCAAGGAATCAAGACTTGATGGTGAGAGTAGGAAGGACTACATTGAGGAGTTCATGCGAGTTGCCACAAAGCTCTTCTGGATCGAGCATACCTTGGGCACAAAGGTTGGAAACGAGTATGTCAGAGGCGTGTCGGGTGGTGAAAGAAAGCGTGTCAGCATTGCAGAGGCCATGATTACTCGTGCATCCGTTCAAGGGTGGGACAACTCAAGCAAAGGCCTCGATGCCAGTACTGCCGTGGAGTACGTCCGATCGATTCGCGCCATGACAAACATGGCAGAGACATCGACAGCCGTGTCGCTTTACCAAGCCGGCGAGTCTCTCTATGACCTTGTTGATAAAGTGCTTCTCATCGACAAGGGGAAGTGTCTTTATTTTGGACCCTCTGAGTCCGCAAAGCAGTACTTCATCGACCTCGGCTTCAAGTGCCCAGACCGATGGACGACTGCAGACTTCCTAACTTCTGTGACTGACGAACACGAGCGCCATATTCGAGATGGCTACGAGTCCCGAATTCCAAGAACTCCGGAAGAGTTTGATTGGGCATACAGGAATAGCGAGGCCTATAGGAGGAACATCCAGGATGTGGAAGAGTTTGAGTCTCAGCTTCATCAGCAGGTTGAAGGCCGCCGCCAGAACGAATCAAAGAAAACCGAGACCAAGAACTATGAGATTCCCTTCCACAAGCAGGTCATCTACTGTACCAAGCGCCAGTTCATGGTCATGGCTGGGGATCGAGCGTCCCTTTTTGGCAAATGGGGCGGGCTGGTGTTCCAAGGCCTCATCGTGGGCAGTCTGTTCTACAACCTACCGAATACCGCTGCTGGAGCATTCCCCCGCGGAGGAACCTTGTTTTTCCTGCTTCTTTTCAATGCGCTGCTCGCATTAGCGGAACAGACGAGTGCGTTTGAGTCCAAGCCCATTCTACTCAAGCACAAGTCCTTCTCTTTCTACCGCCCAGCAGCTTTCGCCATCGCCCAAACCGTGGTGGATGTGCCACTCGTATTCATTCAGGTTATTCTTTTCAACATCATCATTTATTGGATGTCCAACCTTGCGAGAACTGCGTCACAGTTCTTCATCGCCACCCTGATTCTCTGGTTGGTCACCATGGTCACCTATGCTTTCTTCCGTGCCATTTCAGCTTGGTGCAAGACCCTGGACGATGCTACAAGATTTACCGGTGTATCTGTCCAGATCGTCATCGTATACACAGGCTACCTTATCCCTCCAACTTCGATGCGCCCCTGGTTTGGGTGGCTGCGGTGGATCAATTGGATCCAGTACGGCTTCGAGTGTCTCATGTCTAATGAGTTTTACGACCGAGAACTCCAATGCGTCCCGCCCTACCTCGTTCCCCAAGGACCGAACGCCTCGCCGGCGTACCAAGGCTGCGCGCTTGCCGGAAGCCCGCCAGGTCAGACGATTGTGCCCGGTTCTAGTTACATCGAGGCATCCTTCACATATTCTCGTTCTCACCTGTGGAGAAATTTCGGTTTCCTATGGGCCTTTTTCTTCGTTTTTGTAGCCCTCACAGCCTTGGGCATGGAGCACATGAAGCCGAACACTGGTGGTGGCGCTATCACCGTCTTCAAGCGTGGACAAGTCCCCAAGAAGGTGGAGGATAGCATCGCCGCTGGGGGTCGTGGCAAGAAAAATGATGAGGAATCAGGCGAAGCTAACAACAGTACGCAAACGATGACAGCCGACACCGCTAAGAAAGAGAAGAGCGACGAGGACACCATGAAACAAGTGGCTCGGAACGAAACGGTCTTCACATTCCGCAACGTCAAGTATGTAATACCCTTCGAGAAGGGAGAGCGCACGCTTCTGGATGACGTCCAAGGATACGTCCGACCTGGAAAACTCACTGCACTCATGGGTGCCTCCGGTAAGCATTGATCTTATCCCAGGGGTAATTACTTGCAATTGCTAATGCCGTATAGGTGCTGGCAAGACGACTTTGCTTAACGCCCTGGCTCAGCGCCTCACCTTTGGCAAAGTCACTGGCGAATTCCTGGTCGATGCTCGACCACTGCCCAAGTCCTTTCAGAGAGCAACTGGCTATGCCGAGCAGATGGATGTGCATGAACCTTCAGCAACGGTTCGAGAAGCTCTCCAGTTCTCTGCGCTGTTGCGCCAGCCTCGAGAGGTCTCAAAGAAAGAGAAGTTTGACTACTGCGAAACCATCATTGATCTTCTTGAGATGCGCGATATTGCAGGAGCAACAATCGGCAAAGTCGGCGAGGGCCTCAATGCGGAACAGCGAAAGAGGCTTACCATTGGAGTGGAGCTCGCATCAAAGCCTGAGTTACTCATGTTCTTGGACGAGCCTACGTCTGGATTAGATTCCGGCGCCGCTTTCAACATTGTCAGATTTCTGCGCAAGTTGGCAGACGCTGGCCAGGCCGTGTTGTGCACAATTCACCAGCCGTCAGCCGTCTTGTTTGAGGAATTCGACGAACTTTTGCTTCTCAAAGCCGGAGGTCGAGTTGCGTACCACGGGCCACTTGGACGTGACAGCCAAGAACTGATTCAATATTTTGAGTCAAATGGCGCTCACAAATGCCCTCCGAGCAGCAATCCAGCCGAGTACATGCTGGAGGCAATCGGTGCCGGTGATCCAAACTACAAAGGAAAAGACTGGGGAGATGTCTGGGCGCAGTCGAAGCACAAGGATGAGAGATCCAGAGAGGTTGATGAGATGCTGGCGAGGAGGAAGGACGTCGAGCCCTCAAAGAGCCTCAAGGATGACCGCGAGTACGCCATGCCACTGACGACTCAGACGGTGGCGGTGGTCAAGCGTTCGTTCACCGCTTACTGGCGCACACCCAACTACATTGTCGGAAAGTTCATGTTGCACATTCTCACAGGTCTCTTCAACTGCTTCACATTCTACAAGATCGGTTATGCGTCTGTCGATTACCAGAACCGACTGTTCTCAATCTTCATGACTCTGACGATCAGTCCCCCGCTCATCCAGCAACTGCAACCAGTGTTTCTGCAATCCCGCCAAATTTTCCAGTCGCGCGAGAACAACGCAAAGATCTACAGCTGGTTTGCTTGGACGACAGCGGCAGTTCTCGTCGAGATTCCCTACGCTATTGTCGCCGGAGGTATCTACTTCAACTGTTGGTGGTGGGGCGTCTTCGGATGGCGCCTTCCCGCCTTCAACTCCGGCTTTGCATTCCTCTTGGTCATTCTCTTCGAGTTGTACTACGTGAGCTTTGGCCAGGGCATCGCTGCATTCGCTCCCAACGAACTTCTTGCATCTCTCCTAGTCCCCATTTTCTTCCTCTTCGTCGTCAGTTTCTGCGGTGTGGTTGTACCCGCTGCCCAACTTCCTGCGTTCTGGAGGGCTTGGATGTACTGGCTCACACCTTTCCACTATCTGTTGGAAGCCTTCCTCGGGGTCGCCATTCATGACCAGCCTGTTCAGTGCGAGTCTGGCGAGTTCGCAAGATACCAGCCGCCTCCCAACCAATCCTGCGAAGATTATACCGCACCTTATATCCAGCAGGCTGGTGGATACGTTCGAACAGGAGATGGGGGCATCTGCGAGTTCTGCCAGTACGCGACGGGCGACGAGTTCGGTGCAGGCTTCAGCGTTTACTACAGCAATATCTGGCGTGACTTTGGCATCTTCTGCGGGTTTATCGTCTTCAACTACGCCGTAGTCTACGTCGGGACTTGGCTCAAGTTCAAGGGAAAGAACCCTTTCAAGAAGCTTATGATGAAGAAAAAGAAGAATTAGGGTGGCAGTGGGTAATGTTCATCCTCTTGTCAATGTTTATAGGGCCCATTATCATTATGGAAAGTAAACCTCCAGGATAGTGAGGTGTAATAGATTAATAGACTATGTCATTGAAGTGTTGAGACTGCTATCATTGAAACGATTCATGTATGACTGCTTAGCATCGATCTCACCGAGCTTTTGTATAGTTCGCAACAAGGAACTTGCGCCTTGACTTCGCAATGCCGGGTGACTCCCGACATTATTCCTCGCACCTTGAGCTTTCACAGGCAGCTGGGTGGTGGATATGGATTCTGACATTGATTGAATTAGAACGCTGGTGCATGATGAGGGAATCTATAGAGGGAAGGAATAACAACATTTTGATTCAAGTCAAATTAGCAGCCTCAGTTCTTGAAGGCACCGTTTGTCAACTCGTCCTCCAGGTCGTAGTAGACTTGGAATTCGCAGTAGCAAATCTCTGGGTCACTCTCAACGTCAAAGTTGAACTGTGCCTCCTCATCAGTGATGGGAACCTTGGCCAACCCGTTGGCGCCGGCAGCCTCGGCCAGGAGCTGCACGCGGCAGCTGCGCTCCATGGAGGTGTACAAAAAGGCGGCCTCATCAACGGTGCGTCCAACCGTCAACAGACCATGGTTCCGCAGAATGCAGCCCTTGCCCTTGGGACCCAGTGCCTGAGCGATCAGCTCACCCTCCTCGGGACCCAGAACGACACCGCCGTAGCTGTTGTAGACGCTGTGCGCTTCGCCAAGGAACTTGCAGGAGTCCTGGGTCAGCATCTCCAGCCTGCGTCCAAAGACCGACCAGGCCTTGCCGTGGATGCTGTGGTTGTGGCACACGGCATGAACGTCGGGGCGAGCCTTGTGTACGGCAGCGTGGATCAAGAAGCCAGCAGTGTTGGGAGGCTTGCTGCGGTTGCCGCCGATCACCTCACCGTCGAGGTTGACGAGAATCATGTCGCTGGCCTTGAGCAGACCAAAATGCTTGCCGAGAGGGTTCGTCCAGAAGGCGTCGTGGTGCTCGGGATCCCTGACGGAGATGTGGCCGCTCATGCCCTCGATGTAGTCCTCGCGGTACCAGTGGCGGAAAGCGGCTGCCATGTGTTCGAGTTGCCATTGGCGCTGGGAGGCGAAGTCGGGGAACTTGGGGATACCGGCGAGAGCGACATCGCCGTGGGACATGGCCTGCAAAGGCGTCTTGTTGGCGAGCTCATGGCCGTGCTTGGTGTGCGACACCTCTTTGGGGACGATGGCGGCGGCGCGGGCCTCGATGGACTCGGTGTCACTGACAACGGCAGACGGAGCCATGGTGGGTCTTGTGATCGGTGCGCCGGTTTACGGAGTATGAAGCAAAACGGTCTGGATGCGGAAAATGAGCACAGTGTCTCTCAGGCCGTGGTACTCTGAATGTATCTGTTTCGAGATGGAAGAAGCAAACGCTAGGTTCAACGAGGATTTGTGAGTTCAGGTGTATTCCAGATAAAGTTGATCTGGGGAAGTCCTACGATAATGATGGCCGCCGATTGATAGGTAATACGCCACTTACGAATGGAAGACGGAAATGTCCATCGGAAGATGTTACCCAGTGTTTGGCCGGAGCGGGGTTGCGGGTCTTGATAAGGCATGACCGGGATCGCTCTCACAAAGTCAGGACCGGATACCGGAAACCGGGAAACCCGACCGGCCCGGTCCAAACTTCGGACGGCCGGCCAGGGAATACGCCGCAGTATCCTGGGGCAGGGAAGGGGCTCCGCCTCCGCAACGGGCGGCTCAATCGCCCATAAGAGAGGCATCTCCACGGGCACCGCGGGTTCGAGCCAGGCTGTCACTCACTCATGGCATCGCGGCTTCGAGATTCACGCCTGGTCAAGCTTGGCTCAGAAGTTGAAGAGTGAGACGTGGTATGTTAAGAAAAACGTCGCGACAGGGTATGTTACAGCTAGTCCATGCAAATTCTCATCCGCCCGTCATAAACCAAGAAAAACTCTCTTGTACAGCGACCGTCGTTGTCATCGTCGTTACGCAAATGCTTTTATTTACCCGCGCGCAGCTCCCGACCGTCCAGCTCCGAGCCCGTCTCACTTGCTTTCCTGGAGAGGGAGGTTATTCCTTGCTCTGCTCAGCACATGTGCCGGATGTCGCATTAGTTCGTCATTAAATAGCAGTATTTTGCTCGTATTCAGCAGCTGTCGATATGCCACGTCGATACATCTACCGCTTGGCCTGCAACGCCTTATCCAGGCACTGGATAATCTGATGAGAGTTAGCACACGTGATGCGTAATCAAGCAGCATTCAATAGGACATACCTCATCTCCCCAAACACCTTGGTTACTAAGATAGCGACCCATGCCCCTCACCAACTCGAGCTGCTCTTCGACAGTCAAGCCAGTGACGGCCATCTCCATGACGCTGCCGAGATTGACCTTGTGAAGAGCAATAAAGGAATGGTAGTACATGTAGGTGAAGAAGCCCATGATGAACTGGCAATCCATGCGATCCGTCATACCGCCATGTCCCGGAATGGAGTCGCCAAAGTCCTTGATCTTGAAAGTGCGCTTGAGCCCAGAAGCGAAGAAACCGCCAAAAGGTGCAATGAGAGAGGCAAAGGTGGCCAATACCAAAGTGTGCAGCTGCATAGGGGCCACAGTGAAGGAGAAGGTCTGGTGCATGTTGGGTGGCAGGAAGAACAGAGGAGGCAGGCTGTACGTCTTGGGGATGAAGACGGGATTCCGAGTACACTCAAGACCAGTAAAGATGTTCGCGCCGAGATCCTGAATTAGTGTTAGTATATCAACAGCGTTTATCTAGGAGAGGCGTAGTTTACTCACATTGACTGGGCACAAGAAGAAGTCGGAGCGCATCAAGACGTTGGTCAGAAGCATGCCAAACAAGATGGTGAAGGCCCAAGCGCCGACAAAACCCTCAACGGTCTTCTTGGGGGAAAGGGCGATGAGTTGGGTGCGGCCAAAGGTGATGCCGCAAAGGTAGGCCCAGATATCGTTTGTGATGACCATGGCGGCTGGGAGGAAGAACCAGATCATGCCCTCGAAGACGTTGTTCATAATGAAGTGAGCCTGGACGACAATGAGGTACAGGGCCATGTGCGTCCATGCAAACTGGGTGAATTGAAACTTGTAATGACCATTCTGGAGAGAAGTGACGAAGAAGACGAAGCCTAGCAAGGTCAAAGGTCAGCGCGTGTTCGAAAGAAACGGTATATTATCGCGTGCTTCGAGAAAGGACATACCAAAGATGTACAGAATGAAGCTGATGAAGCGGTGGTGGGTTGCCAAAGGCAGCAGAACCTTGTCAACCAAGACGATGTGCTTGAAGTAGTAGATGACGCTCTCGCCGTAGAGGAAGTACATGGTGGTTGCCAGCCAGTACCAGTTGAGGCTCTTGGAGGAGCGTAGCTGGCGGGCGCGGCTTGGTACGCTGGCGATGGCGATAACCTCCTTGAAGGAGATGATCTGGATAGCAGTCATGATGCAGATGATGTAGATGTGGCCCATGAAGAGAGCAGTGAAGAAGCCAGCGAACATGACAAAGGTCCAGAAGGTACGGGTCAGGAAGTTGGCCTTCTTCTTCTCGTAGGCGGCTCGCTTTTCCTCCTCGGGTGATTGAGGTTGCTGTCGCAGGCGCAAAAGGTTAGCTTTCTCCATATTGAACAACGTCGCGGTCATGACCATGATGATGATGGCACTGGTAGTCGCACTAAAGCCGTGCCGATGCAGACTGCGAATCTAGAGCTTACCTCTACAATGTTGTCCAGGGCCGCGCCAGACCTTTGCTTGGTCGGCGAACCATCTTCACTGACATCGCTAAAGCTGGAGCGGCGCCCCTCACCGTGACCGTTGGCCTTGTGAGGGAACTTGACGCCCCTCCGTGTGCGGGCCATCATGTCTTTATTTACGGTTCCGCAATACTCAAAGGGATAAGAAGTTTCGATGAGTCGGTCTCGTAGGTAGCTGCGATACTAGGCGAGGCTGCTTAAGCCTGGCTGGTGGTGGTGGTGGGAGAATGGTCAAAGGTCGTGATAAGTCGTCGCGAAGCAAAAGCGGGTGGTTCGGATGCGGCGATGGAAAGAGTGGAAGCGGATGGTCGGCGCAAAATAGACCGTTGGTTGGGTCGCAAGGATAGGCGACGGAATGGATTATCGTCGAGTTGTCGAGACACGTCGGAAGAGCAAATTCTAGTCGAGTCCCAAGGCGTGGATGCGAGGGGTCGAGCTCGGAATCGCAGGCGGTCGTGGGTGACGTGTTGGCGAAGCAGATGGGAATTATCGGCGTGGATGGATTTTTTGTTGAACCCGTATGGTAAGGTACGGAGTAGACCTGAGAGGGAACGCAAAGGCTGAGCAGAGAGGACTGGAAGGGCGGAAAGCGGGAAGGCACAGCTGGCGCAGAATCCCCAAGTGGACCCACCTCCTTCCACGTCCCGTCTGAAGCGGGCTGCTGCGGCTGTGTCCACGTCGACGGGACTCGGGCTGTCACGCTGCGTTGCTGCTTCCTCCAATGTCTTTGGCACCAAGGTCCGTAACAGGTATTTACTTTTGTTCTATTATCTCTCACTACTTTTGCTTTTCCTTCTACCATTTCTATTCTTTTCCAGAGTTTCTGTTATTATCCTTCCTCTCAATCAATGGCCCAGATGCCCAGATGCCCAGATGCCCAGGTGTTCCTCCTGCTGTCTACATTTCATCCTTACTGAAGCTACGGTGCCAGGGCAGCTGGTCTGGGCGAATGATGACGGTGCAAATTAGCGTAAAAGAGCTACGTCAGGCCTGCATTCTCGGCGGGGGGAGGCCCTGGAGATGGGAATTGGAGTCCGCTCGCATTGCCTGCCCCCATTGCCCCCATTGTCCCCCCCGAGCGGAGATTAGGTAATCCAGCCGGTCGAATCGGCAAGACCGCACCTCAATGCTGAGAGAGTCTTGACTCCTGAGGCCTCATTGGGCAAACCACTCGTGGCATTGTCGGCTCGGTCTCCGGACTGCTGGTCATCTCCGTTGATGTCTGCATTTCTTTCATCCCCAATAAACTTATTTGCTAATTTTTCCAGAGGTGCAACATTCGTATTCTGCTTTTACCTCAAGTCAGGCACAGATAGGTGTGAGGACCCATGCATGAGAGAACCTTTCGCCTCCAAAAGCACAAGCTTCAAGGAGCCCCATGCACAAGACGCAACGCAACGCCTTGGGTTCCTTACACAGTAGGTATGCGTATGTTTTGCAGGGCTCCGCTGAAAGGAGGAGCATCATCCTAGGTACCTTACCAACCCACCAAAGTTGTTGAGTTGGTCAGCCAAGGGCTTTCCTCTCCAGACACCAAATGCTACGGACGGATAAGCACAGCATCTTCAAACGCTTTTTTCGAGGCTCGTGGCTGACGTGGAGCTTGAGATTGGGCAAGAAAGTCCGCCGGTATAGCTTAGGCCGTCTCCGGTCAAGCCGAGATAGCTATCACTGTGGACGCAGGCTGACATCATCACATGCCATCCTGTGGCACCAAACGACCTGTTCAGGTCTGGCCAGCAGCTCTTGTTCAGGTGCTTTGGGGTGAGGCGCGAGCTTTGAAATTCGTCCGTCTTCTGCTTCGCGCTGCAATCGTCCGAGCTCGCCAGCCACCGTCACATGATTAGACTTGGAATGGATGTGTGGCTGGTGACCCGGAGGTACTCCGTTCCTACCTTAACCGTACCTTCTACTCCATGGGGCCTTCCATTTCTCAAGCTTGGGCAATTGGAAGGCCCAGTGTGTGGCTAAGCGCGCGCCTCCCTCAACCTGGACGTCGCGTCTTCCGGCGCGTTGACTCTTGCGGTCCTCCAAACACTGATAAGATAAGGAAACTACATGTCTGCCCTGCCCGCGGTGCCTGCCCGTGATGGTGAGCTGACACTATTCCCAACTCCATGATCTTCCACCCCAACCTCTCTGTGAGGTTCAACCGTCAATAAGTCCATGATGATTCGCGATTTAACGCTTCCAAGCGACCATGGACGAATTCAACGATGACGACTTTGATGACTTGAACGACACTACTCTCCAGGAGCTTGAAAACAACGCCATTCAATTCACACAAGCACAAAGAAAACAGGATTCCCAGTCTCAAACTCTACCTCCGCCCCATGACCCCTCCCAAGTCGAGAACTACGACGATCTAGAATTCGAAGATGACGACCTCGACGATGCTGAAGTCACCAACGAACTTCTACCACCCGTCACTCGCCCCGCCATAGACAAGACCATCTCCCAACAACAACATCAACACCAGCACCCGCAACAGCCTCTTGCAGCCAGGCACCCGTCTCTACCACCTCAACAGAGATGGAACCCTCCACCAGCCCATGCAAATCCTCCGACGCTCTCCTCGCGGCCGCGATACCCTCCCCCCGTGCCATCCTACAACGCCCCTGTAGCCTCACAGCGATTCCAGCCTGCCCACCCTGCAGCTCCGTATCGACCTCCACCAAGCCAATTCGTCCGACCACCTCCTCCTTCGTCCGCTCGCTTCAATCCTCCACAATCCCAGTCGCAGTTGCACGCGGCACCTGGTAACGATGTCATTGCAGCACTGCAGCAACGGCTCAGGGCCCTCGAGTCTGAGCTGAACTCTGCGCGCGGCGAGGCCTCCATCATACGAACAAATTCAACCAAGGCGGAACAGGATCACGCGGCCGAAGTTTCCCGCCTCAAGAAGCAGAATGCCGAACAAGCTGCCAGGCAAGAGAGGGCTGTGGAAGCCGCCATTGCTGCTGAAAGGCAGGCCACCACAGAGTTGCAATTCCTCCAAAGGGACATGAAGGATGCTTCGACCCGTCCTCGCCGGAGAGAAAATGCGCCAGTGTCCGCCGCCCCAGGAACCACCACACCTAAGAAGGCTACCAAAACCTGGGGTGTCGCAGACGGATTCGATAACATGGACATCGCTCCAAGTCCGACCAAGAACAGAGGCAAAACCCGGGACCCTGGGCCTGTTGCTATCCCGTTGTCGGAGAGGACGCCCACCAAAGGCAAACGGAAACGGCCTGCAGTCGATAGTCCAGTCATGGCTTTGGAGACAGACGCCCAAGACGTAATCATGGTTGATGACACAGGGACTACTGCCATTCCAATTCAGTATCCAGGCCCTGCACCTACTACTCTCCCTTTCGAGGTAATGTTCCTTCACATCACGTATCTTCAAAGGGTCTGTAGCTAACATCGTTGAAGTTTCTCCAAGTCATACTAGATCATGGCTCTTTGCATGGGGAACCGCCGACTTTTGACATATTGTCACGATATTCATACCCGTCCGATCCGACCACGTCTTTTGCATCCTTCATTTTCCAGCATTTGCCTCTCATGGGCACTCCGCTGAATCCGGTCCAACTTCTGGTAGACTTCGCCCGTCTTATTATCCAAATGTGGAGCCAGTGTTTGAGAGAGAATTTCTTGCGGCCAATTTGGGACCTAGCCTCCCTCCTCTCCTTTACTCTGCAGCTCCAGACCATATCAGTGGTCCCGCAGATCGTCAATGACTTGGTTCCTACTCTGCAACAGTCTATTTATTTGGTTGCAGAAGCTCGATTCAAGAGCCAGGAGGGTGATGTCTCAGCAGGGGCTGCCACAGAAGCCCTGCAGCAGCACGTCGATACTACGTACATCCTGTCTCTGCTGAACGCCTCTGCTGCAGCCTGCGCTACCACAATGTTCGAAGCAGATGGTGGTGCGCAGACGAGACAAACCGAATTTTGGCAGCTGATCACTCTTGATCTGGTTCTCATCCTTCTCACCCCCAAACAACAGCTGGACGATATCATTGGCATGCTTGATATGCTGTGCACTTCTACCCTCCCAGATTCCCTTGGCCCCATCATCCCAGGCAAAGACGCCGACCTAGCGGCTAGAATGATCATCGACAAGGTTTCTCTCAACCTAGTCGACTTACCTAGAGCAGTGTCGTCTATAAGCCAGAAGCACGGAGTCAGATTCGCAGTCTTACGAACACTCATGGCCTTCATCCGTACCCCGTATGGAGCACGACAGGTCGCGGGCCACGTCAGTGTCATACCCCGGTTAGTCACAGCTCTGGGCGAGCTTGTTGATGTTTTGTACGACCTTTCGGACCCCGTAGTGGATACCTCCAATCGCGCTTTTTCCCCTTCACACAAGAACTTGGCCGTGGGTACTACCCCGGATGATCGCCGCGATGGTGTAAACGACTGGGACGACGGCCGGAGTGGCGTCTCTTTGTTGATATCTCAGATTATTCTGCTTCTCCATACCATGGTAACAGATCCGCAGACGGCCAACGTCGCAAACATCCTCTCGAAGCTCTCCATGTCCCATGGCGGCTCTCAGCGGTACATCCTTTCATTGTCACGGCTTAACTTTGCGGAAGAGGATCTGGTCTATGAGGGCGCGATTGACGCGGATACTGTTGATCGAGCTCATGAGTTATTAGAAATTGCCGTGACCCCTGATGAGGGCGACAGTATCGCCGTTTCGTTTGGGGTCTGAACAGCGAGCATCTCCACGTCCAAAGGCGCAATCATATTTCTAGACGGTCCGTTGTCCATAGACACTTTACCTTAATAAGGTACTTCACCTACCCCAAGTGGCATCGGGCGTTCTGGAACTCGCAGTATCCGGAAGCCAGGACCCTGGACTCGCTCCTCAACGATAACGAATGCAGGTGTGCCAAGGGCTCCCTAGCATCGTACTCGCCTTCATTTAGTATGAAGGCAAACAGCAAATGTATCATCACATCAGCCGTCACTGTCACATCAAACTAGTGCCGTTCTACTCTGTTCCTAGAGACTGAAGCGGCGAACACACGATCGAGAATGTGGAGAGTCATGCGTCACGTCGTCGCGATCTGATTTGCAGGACCCTTTCGAGACCATTGGACTGATTAGGAGTCGCCTTGAAACTTTCTTCGATTATGGAAACTCGGCCGAGAAACGTGGACCACAAGCTTCACATTACTCCCAAGAGGGCCGTGCTCGAACGTATGGAGAAGATCATATCCCCTTATTGACTGGATGCCGTGAAAGCCACACCACGAGAGATGCTCGGACCCCATGGACTAAGGATTACTCGATTCGGGTTTGCTGATCCCCAAGCTCTGCGATGGCGTCGAAACACATCGTGTACTGTACTGTGTAGTAGCTTTGTTCAGTTGAGCAGCGCTGACTAGAGATGGTGACTGGACGCGCTAGTCAGGCAAAGCCTTTGCTCTTCAGCTTAGCGCCTACCAGTCGTCTCCCAATTCAGCACGCGCCCCTGAGTCAAGAGGAAGCATCTCGTCCGATAAAGCAGCCACTTGGGATGGTTCGTCCAAACCACGCCTGGGTCCGAGCCCGGTTCGTCCGGTCTGGTGCGAAGTCGTGGGTCCAAGTCGAAGCTAGGATGACAACAACAACAATACCACGTTCACTTTCGCGGGACTCTAGGCGGATCGGAGTCAAAGACCACCATTCGGCAAGACAAGCGGGGTGCATTGAACATGGCATGTTTTTTTATGGCAAGCGCCAGGAGTCGACCGTTGAACTTTCATGTCGCACATGGTCGGTCAGGAACGGGTGGGCAGAAGCCACTTGAGCATCTCACAAGCTGAAGTCTCCGATGGAGGAACCCCTCCTGAAGACCCCTCGCACCCCATCATGAACAGCATATATGATGCGGCCTGATCGCACGTCCTTGCGAGTACATAGCGAACCCAGACTCTCTGTTACTTCTCTTCTTCAATTTGCTGTGCTCCTACTGTCTCGGTCCAACGCCGTCACGATGCATATTCTCTTCTTTTGTACCGCGCACAATTCGCTATCGCAGCGTCTACACGTGGCACTCTCTAAGTCCCATACAATCACCATCGAATATGCCCTTTCAGAAGATGTCATGATAGAGGCGGCCAAGCTCGCCAAACCTCATCTCATTCTCTGCCCATTCCTCACAGCCCGCGTACCTAAAGAGATTTACGAAAATTACCTCACCCTCATCGTTCATCCCGGTCCCCCAGGAGACGCCGGTCCAAGTGCCTTGGACTGGGTGCTCATGGGTGATGATGGGACAGAGACCAACCCCGATACTATCCTCCAAAAAGGCTCCTGGAGCGAGTCCGGCCGACCATACTGGGGTGTCACTGTCCTTCAGGCTGTAGAGGAGTTCGATGCCGGGCCAGTATGGGCTTTCGAGCAGTTTCCTCTGCAGATTGACTCGCCAGCCGTCACGAAGTCGAGCCTTTATCGTGGCCCCGTTACACGGGCTGCACTTACAGCCACCCTTGCAGCCATTGAAAGAATCCAAACGGCATCTGTCCAGGCTGCTTCGCCATACACTCCTCCCCCGTCGCCAGGATTTGAGAAGTTCGCCCCGCATCATGTCACTCCGCTACTCCGAGCAAACCCTGCCTACCGCGACGCCTCTGTCACACTGCAGAAAGCCTTCCTCGGCGGAGTGACACGTCATCGGCCACTTCTCAAGGCGGCCCAACGCGACTTTAACATTCACTCACACACGGCTCGGGAAATATCCCGAAGGATTCGATCCTCGGACTCTCAGCCAGGCTGTCTTACCAAGCTGTTTGGCCCAGGCCTCTATGTTTATGGCGGCACCATCGAAGAAGGCGATGATCTCACTAGCCACACCCAGCCTGGCAAAGTTGTAGCTTGCCGGGATGACGCCGTTTGCGTTGCGACTTGCGACAAGAAAGCCATCTGGATTACTCATATTCGTCGTGTCAAGAAGAAGACCGACACGATGCTATGGCCTAAGGTACCTGCTGTCTCAGGCCTGAGAGAGCTGGGCATCCTGGACAGCGACGCCATCACAGAAAACCGCATATCCAGAGCGACGATCGATTGGTCCCGAGCTTCGCACAGTACTCAGCAGGACATATCAGTTGACTTCCAGACATTCGCCAATGCCAAGCGGGTCGCTTTCCTTTACTTCAACTTCTACAACGGCGCCATGAGTACAGATCAGTGCTCCCGCATGATTGACGCCCTTGACTTTATCGCATCCACTCATGTCGTGGAACGACCACTCAGCGCCCTTGTGCTCATGGGGGGTGACGGGTACTTTAGCAACGGTGTTGCATTAAACGTTATCGAGGCTGCTGCGGACCCGGCGCTCGAGTCTTGGCTCAACATCAACCGCATTGATGACGTTGTGCACTACCTCCTTCACGATTTCCCATCACGGAACATTCTTACCGTTGCCGGCATCAGAGGCAACTGTGCAGCGGGCGGCGTTGCTATGGCTGCCGCATGCGACATTGTGCTCGCTGGCTCCGAGGTCGTTCTCAACCCAGCCTACCGTGCGATCGGCCTGCACGGTTCGGAATACCATTCCCTGTCCTACACCGGGCGTTGTGGCTCAGCCGGAGCGACCAAGCTCCTGCGTGACATGACACCGCTATCACCAGCTGAGGCTCGGAGGATGGGCTTGGTCGACCACACTATCCCCGGCAATGGGGCGCTCCTCGAAACCCGCATGCGGAACCTCGTCAAGTCCATGGTCTCTTCGGACAAGAAGCTAGCGCCGGGGTCTTGGAAATATAACGTGAACGTCACGCCCGCGGGTCTGGCGTCTGCTCGTGCCGAGGAGCTGGGACAGATGTCGAAAGACTTCTGGAGCGCCAGGTCGTCCAGATATCACCTTCGCCGTCGCGATTTTGTGCGTAAGGTGAAAGCAGCCAAGACACCACTACGGTTCGCGACACACAGGCGTGGCTTGGGGGAGCTCGACGAAGAGGAGACTAATGATTTCGACGATGTCACCGTGTATGAGCGTAAGGCGAGGGCGGTACTGTTGGCTGACCAGCTGAAGGAGTATGTCGAGAGCATGGCCACGAAAGCTCCACGAAGGGATACGAGTGCGGAGAACGTCAAGGCCCTACGTCGTCAAAAGTCTTGTGTTGAAATCGTGAGCAAGCCGGAGGTGACGCAGGACCTGACGCCCATATACTCGTGCTACTATGAGGTGACGGGAACATTGGGATTCTCATGAGATCTGTTTCGACTGTCTTAGCTAAGGGTTGGCGTTACTATCATGCTAAACTATTTTCATTCGATCTATTACTCCCTCGCGATGACTGGAATGGTCTCATCTGTACGAATAATATAAGATTAATTTACACGTTCGAGCTCAAACAGTTGTTCTCCCCAGCATCTCACTGTCAGCTCACATGCAGCTACCTTAGTTGAACGACGTCGAATACCTGCAACCATCACGAAGACAACATCAAGATGTTTGGCATCCTGATTCAAGTGACTGGCTGAATTCTAAATTTCCAGTCAAGCACCTATCACTTCGCATACGCTAATAGCACAAAAGTTTCCGAACGGCCTAAAGCTCGCTCCCACTCTGTTGGTGGAGTCCCCCATTTGAGGCTGAGCTAGAAGTCGTTTTGATCTAGTGACCGTTCAAATGCAAAATTTCTCTCCCGGATCCCTCATTTGTCAAGTTTCTTTTCGTGCAAATCAAAAACGTCCAGTCACAGCGGCGAACTTGAAATCGTCCGATTCTCTCGTGGAACGGCCCAGGCCTTTGGTCCTGGGAACGCACGCTACCATTCCATTACCGAGTCCACGGCTTGGAGGTCATACGATAGGCCACATTTCACACCGGTCAGGTAATCGAGCCCGACATGGTGGGGTCAGCTTCCGAAAGATGGGCAGTACACGGATGCCGGATCCGGGTCGATGTGGGGTGCCATGCCGAATGGGAGCCGTTTTGTTATCAATGCTGCGTGCGAGTCACTAGTAGAAGTATTCCGTGGATCCAAGAGGGTCTTCCAAGAGAACCGTCTTTGACTAGAGATGTTTCGCAAGCTCTGCATCTTTGGGGTAATTTTCGCAACAAGATCCGGAGCTGCCGCTCGCGTGCTTGCTTCTAGTCTACCTATTGATGTGTTGCCCTGGAATAGGGCACCCACGTGTTCAGCCGAACAAATTGCTAAGCAAGGCAAGACACTCTGTATGGCGATGACATAAATAGTTCAACATTCTTATGTAAAGCATCATGGTCTAGATGCGAGTATCGGATGATTGGTCCCAACTACATAGCATCTGCGGTTCGACGTCTGTTCAATATGCCCCTAAACTGACATTGATGCAATGATGCAGGTGAACTGCTTACTACCTGCAGGATGCACTTAATACGCCCCACGAGGCCTAGGCTTTTCGTGAGGAAAAACATGCGAGAATGGGCATTCCATAGCCCATTGTCGTTCTTTTTTATGGAATCTCGTGCTACTTGGCAACCGACCCCTCTTGTGACCAACACACCAAACGCTGGGCGCGTCCCCCACCTCGTATTGCAATCATTCACGAGGAATTATGCCATAACCGCCTCATGGGACTTTGTATTTACGTGTGGGAGCAAGATAGAATGCCCATTGGGTGCTGGTCATGGGTTGTTTTCTCTCTTCTTGTGACACCATCTCAGGTCGACTGCACATGTCAGTCACAGCAAGCCCAAGTTTTTCTCAATGTCATATTCTTCTCAAACCTGGC